CTACGTTTGGAATCGGAGATGTGCACAAGGCAGGGTAAAAGAAAAGGCAATCTGAGCACTGTTCTGAGCAGGGCAAGGTCGAAGAAAATCAACTTGTGGGCATCTCTGATTGAAATCCACCACCAATACATTCAGTCGATTTATTTATTACAAGTTCACTCAATGATTATATTAGTCCTGAGAAAGATAGACAATGATTATTTCGATAAAAAAAAAGTTAACCATATCTAGTCTGGAGACTTGCTTCTTCTGACTCAGTTGTTTTAAATCATTTACGTAAAGTACAATTAGGAAGATTATCTGAACTAAACGATATTGAATAGTAATATTCTTTTTTTTTTCTAACATGTGTTTGCTATGTGTCGAGTAGTCGTAGTTATTTGTTGTATCATACATCTTAAACGGGAATAACTCGTTTTTTCATTGAATTTTATATCGGGGAAATTTTTCGCAAAAATTTTGCAGTTTGGGGAAATTTTTTATTTTAGCGGAAGAATCTGCATCTCTGTTGAGATGTGTCGAATGGTATATAACAAATCTTGTTTTCATAAGATTTTGAGGAAACCAGACTGAATCAGAGTTGGAACCGGAAAGAAATCGAAAAACCGGTCCGGGGTCCGGTCGCCGGACCGGATCGGTTACAGAATGCTCCTGAACCGGTGAAATTCCGGCAAACCGAACAGCATACCGTATAACTGGCTGCGTCAAAGTCGTCCCAGATACCGGAAAACACGTGGAGAAACGATGAAGTCAGATTCCACTGTTCACAGCATATATTCAGACAGATTACAATTTAAAGTTTTCTCATTGGGTCCTAAGAAAAGTATTTAGAAATATAGTTTGAAGAATTTCAATTCTTGACGAAGTATAATTAAAACTTGGAGTGAGTTTCTAGAAAAGATATTCCTGATGTTTGCCAGTCATGGAACATTTTAATTTCTTGAATAAGATCTTGAGACCAGAGCTGAAACCGGTAAGAAACTTTTAAAACGGTCCGGTCCGGCCGGTTATAAATCGGTCTTAAACCAGTGAAATTCCGGGCAAAAATGATAGAAAACGGTGAAACTCACCGCTTGAAAATCGTTTTATATAGTCAATATATGGTAAAAACTGGCAAACTCAGTTCCAGCTATTAGATCATTTAACTAATAGTTAGATAGAGCAATCCAAACAATATGATTTAGTTCGTCACATTATGAATACAGACATCTGAAAATTCTACGTTTTTCTCATCAAGCTTCTACGACAAAATTTGATTATGGAGTCCTACTTTGAAAAAATATTGTAGAGAATTTCAATTGTTCATGAAATATAATTAAAACTTTTAGCTCAGGGCTGGAATCGGTTGGGAAATGCTAAACTGATCCGGCCAGTTGAAAAATTCAACCGGTCCTGTCGGTAAACTGATCGATTGAAGTCACATGCCCTACCGCTGAAATTCCGGCAAAAATGGGAGGAAAAATGGCTCCAAATATGAAATAGTTTAGGAGCACATGTAAAAGACATCATAATGGATCTTTTTAAAAAGAATCTCAGAAAACTGATTGAAATAACATGTTTTGAACATTTTTTTTCGCATTCTGATAGAAAAACATGTGACATCTTAGTTTCTATGGCCAAAAATAGGGTTAATAACACAGATTTTTCAAAACTTTCAACCGGTGAAATTCCGGTCTCTACCAGCCCGCGTCCGGCCCTGATGGGAAACCATTTCATCTACTTCATACTTGATGAAAAAAACCAAAAATAATTTTGTTTTTACAAAAAACAAAGAAAATGATGATAGTTATTTTTAATTTTCAACCGGTGAATTTCCTGTATTGTCCGGGCCGGATGATTTTCCAAACCGGTCCGATACCAGTCCGATCGGACCGGAACCGGACGACCGGACCGGTTCCAGCACTGGACTGAATTTACTGATGGGTGATCATCGAGTGAAAGCATTGATCATTGTGGGCTTTGGTACCGGTCGAAAATGTTTGTAAAAACAATTTTCCTATATACAGTTTTTGTAGTACTTTTCACGGGCTACAAATTCATATACTCAGCATCTTCGATCATTCTATCTTTGATAGGAAACAATGCGACTTTTCGATGATCCATCATCGTTTCCCACGGGTAGTGGCTGTTGGTGAGTCTTTGAATCTATGAGCGTCAACCAGTAAATCCAGTCTGGTTCCTTCGAAATCTTATGAAAGCAAGATTTTTGATATGTCATTCGACGCGTCTCGACTTACTCTACAACATGACGTGTTTGGTTTTTTTTAAATTCTGGATAGGTTACCAAACGCGGCATGATTCTTTTAAAAATTTTCAAAACTTTTTGATTTCCCTCGTATTTATAGACAAAATAAAAATAGAAAAATTATTTCTTTTTTAGGCACGAATGCTGAAGGTGCCCCAATTATTCCAATTAGTGCACAACTTAAATATAATATTGAAGTTATTTGCGAATATATTACAAGAAAAATTCCTGTACCATTACGTGATTTTACATCAAAACCAAGATTAATTGGTGAGAAAAAAGAAAAAAATTTCTTTTTTTTTGTCATATATATATGTTAACGTTCAATATCAAATTCACCTGAAAATTTCAGATCGACCTAGCTCAATGACGAATTGAAAGATTAATACTGTTAATCTTTAGTTAAAGACTAAATCTATTGCATTCTATATGAAGGTGTTGATTCAATGTAAAAAATATAATGAATAACAACTGAAATAGAAAAATTTGGATAATAACTAACAATCTATTCGAGTATAGGAAACAGAAATTACACTTCTGTTGAACATGCAACCAATTGTTACTTTTTTAGAATGTTCGCTTGTGCTAAAACAAACTTGAAAAAAGTAAATTTATATCTCGATTGTGAAGCCAGAGTAGGAATGCCAGTGTCTGGTTTCATTCCCGGGAAACCCATACAGATTGAAAGAATAACCACACCTGTATATCTCAATATAATGAGAAACGCATGGAAACAAATCTTCGAGTGGATTTCATTCTTTGGGAATGAGAAACTTCGACACTTCTAGGCTAGTGTGAAGAAAACAAGTCCATATCTTTCGTTGAGTTTTTGTGTTTGTTGCTTATGATTAGATATTTTTTTTTATGGCAAAATAAAATTTTATGTATTATAGTTAACTTTTGCTTTAATGTAATATATTAGTCAATTTGAAATTGATCTAAACAGATCTGAGATTGAACATGAAAATATATAAAGAAAAGAAAAAAATATTATTATTTTAATTTTTCTTAGTTATTCGTTCGTTCGATGTTAATAAGCCCGGTGCTGAAGTTGATGATTTAAAAGGTGGAGTAGCTGGTGGTAGTATTTTGAAAGGTGTTCTCAAAGTATGAAATTTTATTTATTTTTTTTTTAAATAAAAAATCTATTTTGAAAAAAAAAAAACAACAATAACAATATATTATTAGGTTGGTCAAGAAATTGAAGTTCGACCAGGTATTGTATCAAAAGATAATGAAGGTCGTCTTCAATGTCGTCCACTTCTTTCAAAAATTGTATCACTCTATGCTGAACAGAACGATCTTGCTTATGCTGTACCTGGTGGACTTATTGGTGTTGGAACAAAAATTGATCCAACTTTATGTCGTGCCGATCGTCTTGTTGGTCAAGTACTTGGTGAAGTTGGTGCATTACCAGAAATTTATACTGAAATTCAAATAACTTATTTTCTTCTTCGACGTCTTGTTGGTGTACGAACTGAAGGCGATAAAAAAGGTGCTAAGGTTAGTTTAAATTTCTTTTTAGTATACATAGATTTTGATATTATTATTATTTATGTTTTTTTGTTGTTGTTGTTGTTATTAGGTTGCTAAATTAACTAAAAATGAAATGTTAATGGTTAATATTGGATCTTTAAGTACTGGTGGTCGTGTTTTAGCTATAAAAGATGATTTAGCTAAAATACAATTGACTAATCCAGTGTGTACTGAAGTATCTGAAAAGATTGCTTTAAGTCGTCGTGTTGAAAAAAATTTTCGTTTAATTGGTTGGGGTGAAATACGACGTGGAACAGTGATTAAACCACAAATAGAAATACCAACAACACGAACGATTACTAACAATTAAATCAACATTCATTATTATTGTTCGTCTTTTGAATGCTTGTAGGCAATGGAGTATATAACGTTACGATTTTTTCTTTTTAAAAACAAATACAAAAAAAAAAAAAACAAAGCAAAATAGCGAGCTATCGCTCGATAACATCGTTAATTAAACAAGAGTTTTTTGTTTTTTTTTAACTCAAGCTAAACATGATTTCTAAAATATTTTATTTTAAAATGCAAAGGAAATCAGAAATAAGAAGATTATTGTTATTTGTAGTAGAATATTTGTTTTTTTTTCTTATTATTATATTAAGTTAAATGGTTTTATGAGGATAAGCAACTCTTAATCATTTTCATATAATTTTACAAGAACAAAATATTTCCAATTGAACATAAATTGTATGCCAGTACAAGATAGTTTGATCTTTATTTAAAACGAAAATTTCATGCACATAATTCTATTAAATACAATGAAGATTACAAAAGTTTTCTTGATGGTTTTTAAAGAAAAAAAAAAGAAGAAAGATGGAAAAGCTGATTCCTAATATGCTTTCTCAAAGTTTATGTTTCAATATGGAAAGATTTGCAATCGGTGGGTCATAATAAATGACATTGCTTTGTAGCTATTTCCATCATCTTCCTATAGACAACAAGGCCATTAAAGGGAGTCTCTATTAGGTCACTAAAATATGACCCATGTCAGACACTATCTTCTATTTCGAACTAGTTTGTTGCTAACATTTGTTTGTAAAGCTAAGAACTTTTGACGAGAATCGAAGAGTAACAGAGTTCGACAATTATTTCATTACTTTTAAATTATATGTTATTTATGCAACTGACATACATTGCACTGATTATTTTTCTTTATTTGATAGAAATAAGGCAAGAAAATAAAAAGAGAATGTTTAATTGTTTTTTGTTTTTAATAAGTTCAATATAGATAATTAACACCACCATAGTTTTGTGGTTGAGATTGATTCACATCTAAATTGGGAATTTTTCCATTACGAAATGCTTCAAAGAAGAGTTGATGATCACGACGAACTCTATCACCATATGACTAAAAAAAAAAAAAATCATAACTAATATTTTTACTAATATTATATGTTAAAATTTTACCATAGCAAATGAAACCATATGTTGAATAAAACCTTCATCATTTCCACCAATAGCCTTTTGAATAGTTCTTTCTGTATGTGTTGGTATAATATGTAATGGTAATAAATTAGTATGAAGTTGTGCATGTTTTTCTCGTTCAATCGAATCAACATCAGCTATACAATGTATTTTTGCTAAAATTATTATTATTTTTAAATATTATTTTAATTAATAATAATTACATTCTTATACGAACCCATAGCTTTACCCAAATATTCAATTGTTTCACAAATATCTTCATAATCATTAATATTATTCCATTCAAGATCTCTGTTATGAGTTGCAACTTCATCAACTACCATCGGTATTTGATTATTAACTGTTGCATAACCTAACCATTTCGATGTAACAGCATGCATTGCATAAGCACATAGAACAGTTCGTAAACCATCATGTTGAAAATAATATGCAAGATTTTGATCTTTAATAACACTAGATACAGCTGATCGTACTGCTGGTTTCATAAATATAATAACATCACTTTCTAATGCTTGTGTTTTTCCTTGTACTAATAAACTATATGATGTTCGACCTGCTGATCCTATACCAGGTGAAGTACGTGCTACAATATCTTTTACCTTATAAAAATACAGTATAAATTTTTAGAAAAGATAAAATAATGAAATTATATTTACTTTATATGGCCATGGTGTCTCTTTTTTACTTTCTGGTATTGTTTGTAGATATTCTTGAAATGCTTGTACTATTTGATTACGTAATTGTTCATCAACATCTTTTATATTTTTCGATCGAATAAATTTTCTTTCAAAATTTTCTATTTTTGTCATTTTATTTAAATGATCTTCTTTTGAACCCAAACGTGATTCTTTTAATAATTTATTAACTGTTCCACTTGTATTTTCACTTGTTATTGCCACATGACGTTGATTAGGTGTTTGACAATATTCATAAACTTGTTTTAAATATGAAGAAACAAGACAACGAATAAGTTGTGCAATTTTTGCATCACTAAATGCTTTTGAATATATTATTAAATTTATACTTGCTACTAAACGTTTAACATCCCATGTAAATGGAGCAATATAACCCTGAATAAAATAAAAAATAAAAAAATTTTTAAATTCTTTTTTTTTTTTTAAATATGTAAATTTGATACTTCATCAAAATCGTTCACATCAAAATTAATAAGACCATATCGATCAATATATGTACCAAAATTTTCAGCATGAAGATCACCCTCAAATAATAAATATTATTTTTTTTATCAAATAGAATTTTTTTTTTTTTTATAATTCTTACATGAATAAATACATGTGATGCTTCTTTACAATTTTTTAACCATGGATCATATTGTGAATCACTTAGCATGTCACGATAAAATATAACAGCTGAACCACGATAAAATGCAAATGGATTTGCAGCCATTTTAGAAAATCGAGTACGCCATCCTTTAGGATTTTCAAGCATATCATTACCAAAATTTTTTAAAAATGTATCAATTATATAATCTGTTCGTTGTTGATCATTGTCTTTAGAATGTTTTTTAGGTGAACTTGATGAATGATGTCGAGGACGATGTGGATGTGGATGTTGATCATATGGTGATGGTGGAGGGAAAAACATAATATGGCTTTTTTTCTTCGTATTTGATAATAAACACAGATTTGACGAATATATGGTTAAGGTTTTTATATCACTCCACCACTAAGAATCAATCAAGTGTGATAAATAAAAACAGTAACCTTGAGATTACTCATGTGTATCACTGGGTTTTAACCAGTTTATAGAAGAAAGTTGCAGACTATAAATAGCAGGCCTATTAGTTGATGATAAACAAATAATTTGAAGAAAAACATAACATAGAAAATGAAAATTAGAATCAATAACCTTGAAACAAAAGTATTTCTAAGAAATACTCAGATTGATTTGTAACAATTTCTTGTATTTTAATAGTTAATAAAACATGAAAAGTATAATAATGAAATGAAGAGAAAAACTTGTCATATACAAATTTTAGTTTTTGCAAATCTGAAAAATTCGATCTTTTATTATGTATGATTATTGTCAATAAAGATGACGAAGCATTGACAAATCTTGCGTACATATAGAAAAGTATATAAAAGAAATGAATGACCATGAAACAAAAAAAAAAATACAATCGATAATATTTTAGAAAATAATTATGATTATATAATGATCTGTGACCATGTCATCATAAATTGCTAAATAGTCAAGAACATATAATATATTGATCCAAAATCACAACAATCGTAAATGTACGATAACAACATAACCATATTTTTTCTTTTCGTCACGAAGGATGACAATACATAATAGAAGGTCGAAAATTTCAGATTTGTTAAACTAAGACTTACATGGCAAATCTTTCTTTTTTCGTTTCATCATTGAATAATCTGCATAAACTCTGGCATCTATATTTTTTTTTGTGAAAGTCTACATATTCTTTATTTTATCAATAATAGAAGTAATTAAAATGCGAATATATTTATCACTAATAGAATTTCAGTAGAAAGACGACGAAGATTAACAATCAACACATCAAATGCTATAATTACAATAATAATTAATATATATTTCGATCTTTTAGAGTTATAGATACTAGGAAAAGCCGATACTACTTGAAAAAAGGCGTCAGCATTAGCATATGATTGAATATTGTTCATCAACTTTGTCGTTAGTTCATCAGTAGATGATTTCATGTTTATCCTACATTTAAAATCGGAAAACAATGTCCGTGCATATTACTTTTTCAAGCTTAAAGCCAAAGTCATAATTAAATATTTTATTTTCCCGGACTTTTCTTTTGTCGTACATGTAGTACAGAGTAAAATCATTGAAAATTATTCTTGTTGTTTGCTTTCATGAGATAATATTTCTAGGTTTTTGATTTGTTTTTCATTCATGATTTAGTTTCTCTTGCAGATATTGAGTAAAATATGTCTATCATAGGAAGAGTTCGTACTTATGATGTGTTTCTGAGGAAATTCAATACGTTATGCTCTGAAACCGCAAGAGATACGGTTTTTTCCATGGATAATATATATTTTTAGAAAATTTCATACCTCGAAGAAGTTGTGTCCATAAATTCTCAAACTCTTTATGCAAGTTACCCTAATTAATGCTTTTCAAAAAGAAAATTTTTAGATCGTAACTCAAAACTATGGTCTTGCTGAAAACATGAAATTCTATAGCAAAATTCACTAACAAAATCTGATCTTCTCAGAAACAGGTGATAAAAGACGAACTTTTGTTATGATAGGTATAGTTTGCTAAGATCTACAACATGCATTAATAAGGAAACCTTACGAAATGATAAATCACTGTTGATATGAGACATCGCTCATTATCTAAGTCTCTTTGAAGCCGAAAATTTCATGACTGATTCATGTTCAACGACAGTTTTTCTTGGATTCGAGTTATATTACTGTGTAGGCGAAACCAAAAAGTGATATTTAGCCTGAATTTTCGCCTATAATGAAGTTTGATGTTGACTAGCATGTTTCAAATATTTCATAGAAAACGAATGTTTCATTCTCGAAATAAAAAATGTTCTTTAAAACGCATACATATTATTAAAGAATCGTAAAACGTTCAATTTCTCGAAAGCGCATTATCTCGACAACGAAACATTCGTTTTCAATGATATTGAAGTCAACATCAAATCTCTTTGTAGGCGAAAAAATCTAGATCAAAATATCATATTTCGATTTCATCTTCAGCACTCTATGACGGACCGAAAACATAATAAAATGGTTCGAATTCGAGAAGGAAGATTCATGAACCAAAAAAATCATTCTACAATTTTTCTAATCTCCATAGAATCTAGATAATGAGTGAAGTTTTCTTCTTAAATATTTTCCATAAACTTAATAATCATTAACTCTTTATTGATTTTGATTATTTATCAGAATTTTCATCGAATAAATTTTTTTTTTCATTAATTGTAAAGAGATGAAATGTAAAAACCAACAAACAAACAAATAAAAATAAATGAATTATTTCAAATTAAGAAGTCAAGTCTTTATAACATTGATCACAAACTCGTTGTGGTTTTTTTGATGATGCTGCAACAATAGCTGTTTTTGATGAACAACTATCACAAAATATATTTCCACAATTTCGACAATGATGTTTACGTTGTGTAACTGAAAAAGTTTGATTACATTTCATACATGCATTAATATCATCATCATTTAACCAACGACGTTGATTTAATTTATTTGTTTGAATCTAAATAAAACAAAAATATGTGTTTTTTTTTTTTTGTTCTTATTTATTGAACAATAATAATAGTTTTCATTATTACTTGAAGAACTTGATATTCTCGAGCTATTTCTTGTAAAGCTGATTCCAAATCAGTATTTTTCTTTATTAATTGATTATTTTCAAATATAAGTTTTTCATTTTTACTTTCACTTGCTAATGATCGTTCTAATAAAACACGACGTTCATCTTGATTAACAACTAAACGTGCTTCTATATCTTGTATATATATATAAGTATAAAATTAATATTATATAAGAAATATATTTTTTTTTTAAAATAAACAAACCAGATTTTTCTGATTTAATTTGATGAACATTTGATAATTTTTCATTAGTTATTCTAAGTTCACTTCGTACAGTAGCTAAATTTTCTGTTAATGCTAATAATTGCATTTCATATTTTTTAGTTCGAGATTCAAGTTCATTTTCTAATGAATTCTTAATAAATATAATAAAAAAATAATTAGAATTTATTTGAATATAAATTTTTGTTTTATTTACAATTTGTTTTTCATATTTTTCTTGTTGAATATCGACAGTTTGATTAGCATTAGATAATGATTCGGAAACCTAAAAATATGATAAAATTATATTCAAATAGAATTATTTTACTATTACTAATATTGAAAAATCGATTATGAATTCATTTTTTTTTTCTTCTCTTCTTTAATTTAATATTTAATTATTCATTTAAATCTCTATTTTAATTTACATAAAAGATAATCTTTCATACCTGTAATAAATTATGATTAAGTTCACCTAATTGTATTTCAAACTTTTGTTTTTCTTCATGATATTTTTTCATTAATTTATCATATTCATCTTTAATTATATTTAATTGTTTTTCTGTTTGTTGTTGTTGTTCAAATAATTTTAAATTATCTATTTCAATTTGTTTTTCTAATTTGATCTATTAAAAAAAAAAAAACGAAAAAAAAGTAAAAATATTTTAAAATAGATTTTAAAAATTAAACAAATGATCAATAAATTTCACCTTACTATCAGTAATTATTGTATGAACAATAGTTAAATAATTAGTAAATTCTTCATGAATTTGTTCTAATGTTTGTGTACGAATTAATCGAGACTCTTGTTCAGCCTAGAACAAAAAAAAAAAACATGACTAGATCTTTTGATTCAAATGAACAAAAAAAAAATATTTTGAAAAAAATTCTAGTTTTTCTGAAGATGGTCAGTTGTCGAATCCGATTAAAACGTCTTTATTGACTATTCAATGTCAATTTTTCTTTTTTTCTTATAAAAGATTTAGCTAGATCAATCTATACTTTTCAAGTGTTAAACTTTTTATTCTCTCCTTATTTCAGATATAAATCAAAGAACTATGTTTGCTTTTTTCTTACGGAATAAAATTTTCAAAAAGCTAGGAGATATTTGAAAATCGGCCACTTTTATAAACAAATGAATAGATTGAGAAGTTTGTTTGTTTGAACTCAAAAGTTAATTTTATAAGTTATCGCTTTCTTTAATATCTATAAAGAATTAAACCGATATATTCAAGGCTAATCAAAATAGTTTTCAGATAAGATTCGTTCTGTGCTACATTTTAGATTAAAAACTACAAACGGTTTCTCTTGTATTTTTCTTTGAATATACTACTAAAGAGATATTTGTATTCAGTGTTTCGAAGAAGTTCTTCAATATTTCATTGAGTATAATATATCCGAACTCTTTTAATTAATTAATTTCTTTTCATGAAGATATGCCTAATTTTCTAAGTTTTGAGTTGTAAAAACCTTTAAAAGCTTGTCAAAACGTTTTTCTTAAGATATCGAAATTTTAGTGGGTATTTTAATTGAAATCTGTGATTCTTGTCAGCTCACTATGAGAGTCAACTTTGAATTTTTTGGCTTGAAACTTTGCACGAATAAAATCCTCGACAATTCTAGTTCACTGTGAACGTATTACTGATTTTAGTGTTAAACTAATATCTTAGGCTTTGACATTATTCATCATAGCTTATTATATGAGTACAGTCACGATTCAAAAAGTGATCAAACATTTAGATACGTTCCTGTGTGAGATAAAGATCATTTGTAAACTTTTAAAATTCTAAATATCTCTTTAGTTTTTTTTGAGAAGACTCTTTTAATCAAGAATTATGAGAATAGAAGATCTGGAATCTTCTCTCGCGGAAAGGTGTTCAACAACTTCTACACTTACGAGGGAACATTCCTAAGTGTCACATCGCTTTTGAGTCGGCCGTATGGGAATTATGTAGGTCCTAATGATCTATGAATCCTCCCAAAAAAGTTCGTGCCGCTAGCTTCTTACTGTTGAGATATAGCATTTTTACTATATGTTTCGGAAAAAGCCGTG